AATGAGAAGTGTTCTAATATAGACAATGGGTTGTGTCTCATATTATTTGTTATATTTTTATTTTACTAGATAATGAACCTCCAAGTGTGACCTGCCCTGATGATATTACAGTGAATGCTGCAGCTTCAAATCAAGCTACAGTGACCTGGGATGACCCAGCAGTCAGTGACAATGTTAAAACTGGTCTGTCAGTTACTTGTATTCCACATTCTGGTTCCTCATTTAATGTTGGTTCCAACGATGTTACTTGTTTTGCTGCTGATGCTGCTAATAATCAAGACAGTTGCATGTTTGTTGTCAATGTTGAAGGTAAATTATATTGATTTGTCTATTGTTTATTGATGATTTGAAACATTTTGCATTATTGTAAAGTTTGCTTATACATCTCTATGGATTTTTAGGACATTAATATTTATAATTATATGTCTAAATATCTTTTAGTATTTTTTTCATTTATATTACCATATTCTTTCTTATGTTTATTGGGATTGTGTATTTCTAGGGTAAAGTGTTGTTGACAAATAGGCTCACAGCAGGTGTTTTTTGTCTACTGCCCTCTATTGGTGAATGTTGCTATTCATCCAGAAAATATTTGATAATGTATAAAATAATGAATAAATTGAATCTGGAACTTGCTACTGTAGTGGTTTTCAGTCCAGCTCCCCTGAACTAATTCAGACAACTGACCTATTGGATTGGTCACAAGCAATTGGATTTCAATCCCAATGTGACATGGATGAACTGATAACATAGCTACATACTACAGCCTGAGGTTGACCCAATAATGAGAATGACCCATTAGGGCAAAACTTTTTTTATACCTTGTTTATCGAACCCGCTGACTACAAATAATGATGATTTCGAATGAAACTAAATTTATTTTTGGCCAATTAGCGCACCCGCTGCCACAAAAAAGTGGAAATTTCAGAAAAAAATAAAAGTTTTTCTTTATTTTTATTACGCCCTTCGCTGCCTTGAAATCTCAAAAGATAAGATATGTGTATTTCTTCCTAATTTTATATATTTGAAGCATTTAACCATCCTATTTTACATTCACCAATAAAATTTTATTTTTAGTTTGTCCTCCGTCTTGTTTGAATATTTTTTGAAAAACCATTTGTTATTAATAAGAAAAGAAAATTTTATTTTTATTCCGCCATCCTCCAATGATATTTGAAAATATAAATACGCGAAACAAGAAATAAAGGAAGTCTCGCCTCAGTAACTAAAATTGTTGAAAGTTTGTTATCGCCAGGTTACCAAAAAATACATAAACCTGATCAAATTCCTATTAGACAGTATTTTGTCCAAAGTTACAGGTTACTTTAAAAGTAAATGGCATTTGTTTTAATTTCAATTTCAGTTTATTTTTGTATGTCAACTGTTATCAACTAGTCTGAGGTTGTTTCTATGATAAAAATGGTTTCCACCTTTGTCTAAATTTTGTACCAAAATAAAATATTAAATTAGGGATGAATCAAGACAAATTTTCATACCATTTGTCTCAAGTTGGTCACTATTATTTGTTTTAGCATATTGTATTTTTGCTAGATGCCATATAGTGCTAAACTGTGAGTATTTATAATAACTATGCTATAAATGTAAATGTTTTTTTTTTTCACTAACAGTGTTTGTACCTGAAAAACCAGTTGTGACCTGTATTGGTGTTGTTAGTGCACCTACATCTCCAGGCCAATCAACAGGAATTGGAACTTGGAATGAGCCAACAGTAACTGATGATATGGACACTGGTTTGTCAGCTACCTGTACTCCATCTTCTGGTTCATTATTTCCTGTTGGTACCAATACTGTTATGTGTACCGCAACTGACAGTGATGGCAATATTGGTTCCTGCACAATTACTGTTTTTGTCTATGGTAAGTTTTGCTCATTTATGCAACCATTTGTAATATTTATATTCAGTAGAAACCCCTATTCAAAGGACAATTCTTCTTGAAATGAAGTATATCTTTTAACACTATGGCCATACCCCCCTTCCACACCTCATTAGGGCAATAGGAATAATTTTTGAAATGATTATTAAATAATCATATTTTCAACCTTGGAGTAAAAAGGGACACTTAAATTTTTTTTTTAAAGTCTTTTTTGTCTTGTTCATTAAGCTGGGCACACGCTGCGCCATACAATTGTTGTATGGCTGTTGGCAGGTGAATCCATGTCCAATCTCTGAGCGTTTCATACATCAGCTGATAGTTGGTGGCAGTCTGAGTAGCTCATCATTAAAAACTTTGCGCACATTTCATTCAATTTTGTTCTCTGTGGAATCTTGTTTGCCGACAACCGTCAGATGCAGTGTGTACCTGCCTTTCAAATTTATATTATAGGTCCACTGAGTGTGGTTATTCGTGTAAAATAATCTTGTTAATTTTAACCCTTCACATTTAATGGGATTTTTTTTAATGGTAGGCCTATTGTTCATACCATATCAATTTTATTCATTATATTTAATTTATTCATGCTGCTATAGTTTCCTAATAAATAAATATTAATATAAGTTATAAATTCAATTCAATTCAAATAGTGATTTTAAATGGTTTGAAACATTGACAAGAATGAATCTGATTTTTTATATATATGTTAACATATCAAAGAAATATTAACATAAATTTTGAATTTGTTTGTTTTATTATGTTCTAGACAACGAGAATCCCAATTTAACATGCCCTAGTGATATTTCCATGAGTACATCCTCAAGTCAAACTACAGTGACCTGGAATGACCCAACAGTCACCGACAATGTTGATACTGGTTTGTCAGCTACTTGTACTCCATCGTCTAATTCATCATTTAGTCTTGGTTCAAATGATGTCACTTGTGATGCTACTGATGCTGCTGGTAGGACAGGTAGATGTATGTTTACAGTTAATATTATTGGTAAGTCTCCAAGGCCATGTTTCTGCAGTATAATTCCTCCAATAAATTATCTGAAAATTTTCTCCAAATATTTTATCACATCATCAGGGTTGTAGCTAGAAAACTAAGAATGGGTGATAAACATTTTAAGGATGGGTGGGTGATAACATTGAGTAAACTCAAAATAATAAGATTGGATTTTAAGGATGGGTGGGTGATAACATTGAGTAAACTCAAAATAATAAGATTGGATTTTAAAGATGGAAAAATGATTTAATAAGGGTGGGTTGAGGACCATGAAATTAGCTTTAGACTGGGTGGAAAACTTAAGGCTTGGTAGCCCCACCCACCACCGTCCACCATAACTACATACATGCATCATGCAAAATTATGGACATTGATGCAATGTGTTCAACATCAAAACATTTTTATATTCAATTAGCACCAAAAAAGTTTATCAGAAAAAGTTTATCAGAAACTTTGGGCCCCGTTTCCGCTGCAAAAAATTTAAAAAATGGCTGCTTTCCGATAATTTATCGGGTAGTAAGTGCTGCAGAAACACGGCCTTAGTGTTGCTTTGTTTTAAGTACATTTATCAATGGTTTGTTTTAAATAGTATTAATTTTTAGCACATTACTAAAAAAAAATGAAGTACTCACTTTTGAGACAAATGATAAGAGGAGTATACAAGGAAATATAAGCTAGGACACAATGCGCAATTTACAGAAGATTCTTTTTTATTTTTAAGTCGCCTTTACACAAATAGAGAGGTTAAAACTTTTGCTGGTGCAACTCCACCAATTTGTACCTGTATAACCTGAAATATAGCCCATATTATTTACCCAGGACCAAACAACTCAATTACAAAATAAATGCTCTTTGCACAAGCTCCTAAATAGTATCCTGACCCATGGATTAATACTGGCAATCTGCATTGTAAACCTGGTCAAGATAATGAAGCAAACTCAGACAAAGACATCCTTCAACTGTCACACCCAGCATTTTTAATATCTGGATGCTAGAGAATGTTAACTTTTACATAGTTACATCCTGCAAATGACCTTAGGGTCCATAACCACAGGATAAGAGGTTGTATGGATCAGTACAAGGGTAAACCCCTACTCGTCTTGAAAATTGTACTGAATTCTTTAAAAGTGCACATGAGCCAATTGTGTACAATGGGCCTACTATTGGCGTGTATTTCAATACACCTTTCGGGCATACTATTTATACTGTAGTTTTTATCTGAGAAATCTGACACCAGCGCTGACGTTGATTGATGTGGCGAGTCGAATGCCAGGGGCGCCACAATCTACAGCCATAATATCAGTGCTGGTTCAAACGGCACGCACGCTCGTCTAGCTATAGTTTGCCTCTCTTAGACCATGGAGGAAATAATTATTCCTCCATGCATAGACTGGTATTTAGTGGGAGGAGCCAAACTGTACTGTGTACTGTAATGAACATTTAATCACTACTTTTTTATGATGAGTAGTTGGTGATTGTGGACCTAAAGCATGATGTTTTTTTATTAGTAACAATTTTTCTGAGGTGATGTAATCATAAAACACATTACCTTTTTCTGCTGATTAGATTTAAAGGCAATTCAATGACATATTTTTCAACTCTTTACTGTATAGAAGATAATGTGAGTCCTAATGTGACATGCCCTGCTGACATCGATGTGAGTACAGGAAGACAAACTACCTGGAATGACCCAGTAGTCACTGACAATATTGATACCAACCTATTAGTTAATTGTGACCCACCTTCTGGCTCTTCATTTGATGTTGGTGAAAATAATGTCACATGTTCAGCAACTGATAGTGCTAAGAATGAAGGAAGTTGTATGTTTGTTGTTGAAGGTACAGTTTTGTCATGTATTGTGTTGCTTGTGATTTAATATTATATTAACAATGTCAATGTTAGCTACTACAACTTTGATAAATCAATGTCAATATGTTTATTATTATTATTGTTATTATTATTATTATTATTATTATTATTATTGTTATTATTATTATTATGTTACTAAATAATAAATAAAACCTAACTTAAGGGGAATTTAGACAATAAAGAAATTAGAGAACAATTAAAAAAGGATGACGTTGAGGGGAAATAACATGGCGTTGAGGGGGAGAATTAAACAAAAGAAATTCCCCTTAAGTCTGTAGTGCTTATTATTATTATTATTATTATTATTATTATTATTATTATTATTATTGTTATTATTATTATTATTATTATGTTACTAAAACCTACCTTAAGGGGTACTTAGACAATAAAGAAATTAGAGAACAATTTAAAAAAATGACGTTGAGGGGAAAATAACATGGCGTTGAGAATGAAAATTAAACAAAAGAAATTCCCCTTAAGTCTGATGTGCTTATTATTATTATTATTATTATTTTTATTATTATTATGTTACTAAAACCTACCTTAAGGGGAACTTAGACAATGAAGAAATTAGAGAACAAAAAAAAAAATGATGTTAAGGGGAAAATGACATGACGTTGAGGGGGAAAATTAAACAAAAGAAATTCCCCTTAAGTCTGATGTGCTTATTATTATTATTATTATTATTATTATTATTATTATTATTATTATTGTTATTATTATTATTATTATTATGTTACTAAAACCTACCTTAAGGTGTACTTAGACAATAAAGAAATTAGAGAACAATTTAAAAAAATGACGTTGAGGGGAAAATAACATGGCGTTGAGGGGGAAAATTAAACAAAAGAAATTCCCCTTAAGTCTGATGTGCTTATTATTATTATTATTATTATTATTATTTACTAAAACCTACCTTAAGGGGAAATTAAACAAGACAATGAAGAAATTAGAGAAAAAAAAAAAATGATGTTAAGGGGAAAATGACATGACGTTGAGGGGGAAAATTAAACAAAAGAAATTTCCTTTAATCTGATGTTATTGTTATTATTATTATTATTATTATTATTATTATTATTATTATTATTATTATTATTATTATTGTTATTATTATTATTATTATTATTGTTGTTGTTATTGACGATGTTGTTGCAGTTGTTCGAGACCATTCTAATTCCGAGACACCTCTAATTCGAGACCACTTTTCCAAAGAACTAAATAACAAACTTTATAATCTATTAATACTCATAAGCCTGTATGTGGTGACTGAACCCTAATACTACCCCAACTTTTCAGGTCCCAACTGTTGTCTTGAGATGGAGGGCAAACTGTATTTAATTGAGAAATATAATTGTCAAAGCTACATATGAATCTCATTCTTTCAAGATGTTTGTTTATTAATTTTACTGTTGTTGGTAACTTCTGCCAATATAATTCATTTAATGAACCAGCATTTTATGAGTATTTTTAAATAGTGAACATAAAGTGATCATGGTTCTCTTAGTCAGTGGGTCCATAAAAAGATCAAATTCAATTCATAATCTGTTGAACATGATAAAAATTATACTAACAAGAAATTTCAGTGATAGTTGAGTTCAGAATGAACAACAGTTTTTACACTTTATTCCAATCAAACTTAAGAAACTGATTTAAGTTTTACAGTCAAAACAGTTTTTTTTTTAATCGTTTTAATGTTTTATGAATTGATACACAATGCAAGAAGCGTTTGTGAAAATTGTATTTTAATAAATATTTGTCTACCATTCATTCAGTTCTTTATCAACTGGTTATTATTTCATTTTGTTGTTTGGTTTTTGAATACTGTATACATTATTGTAAAGCTAATAATAACCCAGGTTTACTATTCTTTAATTGTTTTGTAAGGTCAGTTACTATTAGAGTAGTGGGTATTATTATTATTACTCAGCTTAACAGGCACTTGAAATTAGTAAACCCTCACCCATCCCTAGCTTTTTGCGTCAGCAATTCATAGAAGTATACTGTAACTACAGTACGAGTAAAAGAACTTTGTTGATTTCATTTTTTTTTTTAAAGACACGTTTGCCACTCATCTTTTTTTTTTTAACCATCTGCCCCAACCCCCATTGTCAAGAATGCATATTTTAAGGAATAAATTGTGTTAAAAAAGTGACAAACTATTTTTAAAAATTTCATTTTGTATTTTGTTTTGGTGACTATAGTAACCACATTATATATGTAGTAGGTGGTTATTATAGATTAACTTCTAAAGGTTGGCTTACTATTAATAAAGGAGGGGTTACTATTGTAGAGTAATGGGTTGGTATTTTTTAGAGGTTTTACGGTATTTACACTGTACAATATCTTGAAATTATTTGTGCAAGGCACTGTAATATCCTGTGAAACTTAACATAAGATTATTTTAATTATTTTTCTCAGTGAATAAAGGAAATACTGACACGATTAGTGATGGTGGTGAAGAAAGTAGTAATATTACGCTTATTGTGGTGATTGTTCTGGTTGTTACCCTTATTCTGATAATTATAGCAATAGTGCTGGTATGGAAAATGTAAGTACTCTTTCGATGATCGAAAAACAGGGGTCATATTTTACAGTTCAATTTTCTTTTATCTTCCCAATAATTTTGTGTAACTATCAATATAATGTTGTGTAACTAGCAGTATTTTAAGTTGTGTAGGTGTACCAGTATTTTAGCTTGTGTGTTGTATTCTGTATTACATATATTAACCTGGTATAAATAAAAATTATATAAGATTATATTGTATAAAATTATTTTGTCTTTAGAGCTTCATTTTTTGTTGCTGTGGAAGAAGTATTAAGGGGCATCGCGTAAACAAATTTGCTTGTTTTCATACTTTTTTTAAAACTTGTTATTTGCGGTTTTTTTTCTAACAACTTAAGACATTATAATGATTTATTGGTCTATAATTTATTCGTCATGGATACTTAAATATGTTTGGGAAAAAATCAATTATTCGTTTAATCTACATGTAATCATAAATCAATCTGTTGGTGCATGATCATGCACACCTGTGTGGGTGAGCTCACATGAAAAATGTTTTGTGAATAATGCAATATAGCAAGAGTTTTAACTGTAATGGTATTGGGTATTTGTAAGGTTTTTTACCAATCACTTATTACTAAATAGCTTTCTGTAAACACCAGTTTGGCCTAAACACATTTTGCTTATATATATATAATCACAGAATGAAGAAAAGCTCCACTTTCCATTCTTTGAATTCCGTGTTCTCAATCTTAATATTTTTTTTGATGTATGCGTGTTTCCTCCTTTCTTAGACGAGTCAAGAGAAGAGACATAAAAAGTCCAGAGGCTATCACATATTCAGCAAATAAAGGAATTTCTGGGAAGGGATTGGAGCAGCAAATTCACGAGCCACTTACCCCAGAAATAACCCACACTCAAGGTATAAAAAATGTATTTCCTTCATATCCAACTGCAACTATACTCATCACTTTACAGGATAGAAATAATGTTTTATGAGGCTTACTGTAGCTTTATAAACTAAGTCAGTTTTATGGCTTTTAGGAAGTTTTTTTAGTCATGGGAAAAAAATCTTGCAGTGACAGAGTTTGGAAAGCTAGCATCTAACCAACCAAGTATGGCTCCACTCCACCAACACAGTGATGATAATGACATCAACCGAAAGGTCCACTGATTAATCTTAGATAAAGATAGTATGATACATACTCCAAGTATCTAAATGCACGCCATCGTGTCAGGATTCAATATTTCGACATTAATTATGTCATCATCAGGAAATAATGACATCAATGTCTGATATTCTTATGGCTAGTGTACAGCTAAGGAAAGCTATAAAATTAAGGCTCACTCTTTAATGATACACATGGTGAATTTAGTGAATATGCGAAGAACCGCTTCATGCATCCCAAATTGTTTATAAAACATGGATAAAGGTATACTGTGTTTGTTCAGTTGGTGTTAGTGGTGTAAATTATAAGTGAACCCTTAGTTTCTAAATCCCTATAAAAAAACACAGCGGATAATCTATATATGAAGTGCAGGTGATAAGTTTTTAAATGAAACCCTAAGACTCACAAATTTCATGTATGAAGGTAGAAAATACAAGCAATACACACTATATTTCTGAAAAAAGAATGTGTTGTGAATACAACATTATTATAAATACAAAATTGACTAAAACTTTTGTTGAAACCCTGTGCTCTATGAAAACATAGGGTTAGAACAGTTTAGATGCCTACATTTTTCCCTGAGGACCTGATTTAAAATTTATGTTGAGAAGTTAATTATATATAATTTTTTCCAAGTAATTCTTATTTTTTAAATTGCAACATTACAGACATATAAATAAAAAACAATAATGCTGCATGGAATTTTGTACTGAATACTTTTATATTTATATTATACTTTTATTTTATAACACATTTTTATATAATTGTTTTTATTACAATATATTTTAACAGAACTAAATCATTTTTTTAACAAAGTGTCTCAATTGTAATGTACTGTATTGAAGAGTTGCTGCCTGTTCTAAAATTTAATTATAGTGTCCTTTGAAACATATTTATATGATTTTCTATTTTCAGATAACACAGAACTTCCATATATAAATCAGGACATCAGAAAAGCTGCAATCCCCATACATGACCTCCCTGAATATGTTAGGGTGAAAAAAGCATCTGGAGAACTTGATGAAGAATGGGAGGTAAGGCTTTTAACATAACAGTTTTAAATGTATGTGATTAGTTAGCGTTTTAATGTCTCTAAGTATTGATTCTGTAATATTTTATTTACAAATTTTTTTGTGTGTGTATATTAAATACACATTTGAAGATTTCCTTCAAAATTACTATATGCTGATCGTAGATTTTATTATCAATCTTGACAGCTTCATTCAGGAATATTGAATGTTTGCAGCAAACAGCTATGTTATAATACTTTCAAACACAGTCTACAATACCCAACACTATACAAAATAATAACAATAATAATATTAACACTTATAATAGTAATAATAACAAGAGCACTCAGTAGAGAGCATATCTCCGCCCACCGCCAATCTCTTTTTATTAACAATTCCTCAAAAATAGGTACTTTCAACTACCAGCCACAATCTACTTAAAAAAAATTACACTAACACGAAAGTTTCATTTAGATGAGTTGTTTAGTTTTTGAGATATCTGATCTGCGATGTTTTGCTTTGTATGGTCCATCATTGACACCAAAATATAATCACTTCACTTTTTAAATGCCTTTTATTGTATCAGTTGTATACCTGCCATTTCCTGACATGCACTGGCTTAATTTACTGGCAAGTTTTACTCTAATAGCTGACAAAAAAACTACTTGCAATGTATTGATGTTGAAGTGGAAATATTTTGGAAATAAAGATATGGGGATTTGGTTCTGAAAAAAGTGAATTTAGTACATATAAAATGCTGTACACCTTTACTGTAATTGCACTAATGTAATATTCACCATATAGCTGTTGTTTCTGCCTACTTTAATATGGTAAACTTATTGTTTAAGTGGTCCTCATATCTACACCCTACTTCGATTCCTGCCCAAAATTGACACACTTCTTTATTGAAACATGACAAACTATTCTACCAATTGTCAATTTTATCCATTGATCCATTTTCGAGATATTTAGGTCTGGGACCTTTTGGCCCTCAAATGCAAACCCACATTTGGATTTTCAACAAAACTCCATAATTTCTTCCTTGTACCTTGTTTAACGTTCACAAAATTTTCATTCATATCAGTTGCTTAGTTTTTGAAATATCTGGTCTGGAACGTTTTCTTTTAAATTTTAAATTTAAACATTTCTTCATTGAAACATGACAAACTATATTGGGTAGTGTCATTTAGAGCCATTGATTATTTTTAGAGATCTTTAGGTCTGGGGCCTTAGGATTTTAAGTGACCCTCAAATGCACAACCGAATCTGGATTGTCACCAACACTTCATTATTTCTTCCTTTTAAGTTGGTTAAACTTTCATGAAAGTTTTATTCATAAGTTGACTAGTTTTTGAGATATCTTGTTCAGGACGTTTGCTCTAAACTCCATTTAAATGATCCTCACATCCACACACTACTCTGGACCGTCACCACAATTTAATCATTTCTTCATTGGGTTGTACCTAATACTCCCTGTAATTATCAATTGAGTCTGTGCAGCCATTTTTGAGATATATCGTACACAAAATAAACACACGAAAACATCAAAACGTTACACAAATGCGCACACTCAAACACACACACACAAGCTAATACACGACTGAAAACATATATTCCAATTATGAAAGGGGCTCTGTATAGTTTGAACCACCATTGCTCTGGGCCAGGGGTTGGCACAAACATTGGTCGGAGGCCCAAATCAAACTTTTCAATGAGCGCCGCAGGCTGCACTAAAATTCAAACTTCAATGGTGAACACATGACAATCTAAGTGCACTCAAAGAGCATAGAGTTGCAAGAGGTCGAACTGCCATGATTTTGTGTGAACACAACGAAACGTTAAAAATGTTAGATTAATCGTGGTGGATAATACTTGGTTTATCAGTGGTTTTATCATAGATAGATAATAAAACAAAACATTTGACGTAATTGTTGAAATAAAACATTTCACATAATATATACTATAAAAACTTTAATCAATAAATAAACCATAGTATACAAATACAATATTTCTTTATATATTGTTAGTAATAAATCCAATGCATTTTATACTATTATCATCGTCATTTGTATGTATCTGTATTTTACTATGACAGCTGTTTATGTAAATTTTGAAAATAAAACACTACTTTAAACCAAATGAATACAATTAACAGGCCTGTTTGCTTATCCATCTTCCATTGGCCTTCATTCTCCTCTTCATCATCATCATCATCCTCATCATCATCAATGCCCCGGTTAACGTTCATAATACGTTCGATGTTTGGCTCAAAAGATGTTGTTGAAAGTTGTAAGCAGGCTTTCAGATTAAAATCTGTCAAAGCATTGCTATGCTTGTTTTTTATTAGTTTCATTCTAACCAAACAAGGCCATTTGTCTGATGGCAAAATTCCAAAGTTCAGGAAACTGTTCCTTTGGAAAATAACATGCACAGAACATGTGGAGGTCGGCTTCAAGGAACTTTACTTTCAAATCCTGGGATTCTTGGAGCTCGATCAATTCCCTTTGGAGACCTGGTGTTGCTGCCCTCTGTGCCTGTGCATTATAGTGAAATGGAGTTGAAAACAAGTCCAGTTCTTGCTCATGGTCCCTAAAGTTGACAAATCTCGTTCTGAACTGATCTAGTAGCTGGTTAAGTTGTTCAGCAAAATATGACCCCTTATTGTTAATCATTACTTGATTTAACTTGTTAAAGTTACGAGCATCCCCCTGTCTAAGTTGGTGAGCCCATAGGATCAATTTGTTTTGAAAGGCTTTTATGTATTTGCAGATAATGTGGGCCAAATTCCGTTTTCCTTGTAAATGGGTATTTAGAGTGTTCAGATGATATGTAATGTCGCATAGGAAAGCGAAGTCCTTCATCCAGTCTTCATCATCCAGTTGGTGAAATGCTTTACCCTTCGTCTCCATGAACTGCTTAATGTGCTCTTTTGTGTAAACATGTAAACTATCGTGTGCCTATATATACAGAATTATTCTTGTCTAAGCTCAGCATTGCTACTGTACTATACTTTTATGAGTACACTTACGTTTTAGCGATATTATAACTGGCATGTTTAGCATTTTCTCTCTCTTCATAGAAAATGTGAAAGAATCTAGCTTGCCTTTCCCGTCTTCTAATCAATGACGATGTCTTTTCCTTCCTCTCATCTGGGGTCAGGTCTTTTATGCTGGGATCATCTTTATGGGATGAGTCGTAATGCCATTTAATGCTGTATACTCTTTAGATGCTGATTTTGTCTCGCCATAAGTAAGGCATAGTGGTTTGTTATTTAAGCTAATGAAGAAATATTGTTCAGTCCATCTGTCTTGAAATTCATGATGTTCCTCCGCAAGTTATCCTTTTTTCCCCACACCTCTACCCATTCTAGTCGTATATTCAGGCACTGAGATTGAAGCTCAGATGAGGTGTGAAGAATGTATTCTTATCAGGCAAACTTACTCCAATGAAGACAGAACTTCAACTGAAAAGCCCGAACTTGCCAAAAGTGATATTTTGGTGGCAGGGGCACAGTTACGCCTAGTCGGTATACATTCATTGCACACGCGCAACTCAAACAAGATTGTTTGATTGCGATGCACTTCTCGATGTGTTGACCAGCAAATATTTTTTTGTACTGATGATTGGCGGCGAGCAGCAATAATAGGCGAATTTATAGCCAGTGAATGTCGGCGGGCCACACAAAAAGGTTTTTTTAAATTACTCTCGCGGGCCGCTAAAAAATTGCTGCTGGGCCACATGCGGCCCGCGGGCCGCACTTCGCCCACCTGTGCTCTGGGCCTTCCGTATCATCCCGTGTGTGCATGTCATGTTCATGTGATAGTGTATTTAGATTAGATACAATGACAAGAAAATACTACATACTGTACTATATTTCTAATATTTACATTTATAGCAGATGATGGGTAACAATTTCCCCACTAGAAGCCCTAATCTGTAAGGTCTTCAGAGGGTGAATTTTTAGTCTAAATGGTTTAGTGTATACTGAATGTTGTAATTTGAATTACATTTAGAATTTTGTTTGCTCTCAATTTTACCAGTTGTTACCTGAAGGTGTTGAAAGCAGTGAAAGAGCATCAGTGGCCTTTGACTCACAAAATGCATCTAAGAATCGTTACCGCAATGTTGTTCCATGTAAGTTGCTTTGCTAATCAATCACTAAAATTTATGTAGCGCCAAATACAAATTTTGCTCAAAGCTTTATGATGAGTACCATGTCTCTTGAAAATAATTAAAATAATTAAATAATTAATAACTCTCTTCTTAACTCTATTTCCTTGATGTTTTTTGAAGGCGATTCTAAAATTTTGTTGCACTTTATTTTAAAAAGTTAATAAAAAAATTGATTAATCTTACATTTACTAACAGACAGTGGCTATTGTCACACCAGTCCTAAACAAATTTCTGATAAGATGTTATTGTATGCATGCATTTGATTATTACAATAACTTCCAATCTGAATTAAGAAATTGTTTAAGACTGGTGTACCAATAGCCACTACCTTTATAATAACTCTAAATATATGTATTAATAACAATTAATCTACATTTAAATTGAAAAACTTTTTATATCTGATTAACTTACACACTACTTTATGGAATATATATATATATTTTTTTAGATGATGAACATCGGGTTGTGTTAGAAAAGATCCATGATGATCCGTATTCTGATTACATCAACGCCTGTTTCATAAAGGTTTGTTGCAGTTGCAATATCGTTAACATACTTAATTAATCTTAGCTTCTGCTAGGTATAACTACTTTGTCAGGGCCATCTATTGTTAGTTCATTTATAGAGAGAAAAATGCTATCATGAGTATGCTATCCACTCATAATAGTGAATGTAGACAACACAAGAATGCCTGAAGTAGTCGTCACAGGTTATGATTGCCTAGTGTTAAGATAGATTCAGTTTAGATATTACATTTTGTCCTCAAATAATGTAATTTTTGTGTATATCATTGATTAGGAAAGATAAATACATACAGTATTGTTGTTATTGTATGTCTCACTGCATATACAGTATTGCCTTGCAATGATGACTTGTATTATATTTCTTGAGAGGTCATACATTATTTTCACAGCAGTACAAAACATTTGTTTCTGTAAATCCTGTTGCACAATAATAAAATGATCATTATAATCATTTTAAGATCATTAATTAATATTTTTTATAAAAGGTACATATGGCTACACTTTACACCCCGTTTCCCCATAAAGCATATTTCTTGTACTCTTGTCAAAATAATGAAATAATGGATTGTTGTTATGTGGGGGGGGGGGGGGGGGGGGGTTTCTTGTGGCTCTTTCCTTATTGTGGGTTTTTTTGCAATCACATAGGGCTTTACAAATGAGAAAGCTTATATCGCAGCTCAAGGACCTAATAAAACGACGATTGCTGATTTCTGGAGAATGATTTGGCAAGAAAATGTTTATTCTATTGTCATGGTAACAAACCTTGTGGAGGATGGAAAAGTAGGTGACATGATAATTTTTTTTTTCAAATTCTAGATTATTATTGATTACTATGTTTAGCAAAGTATTTATTTTTGTGTGCGTGCGTGTGTAGAACAGTTTTTTAAACACAAACACATTAAAACTATGTTACATGTTGATACCGAATTGATGACATGCAATTATTGCTGCCCATGTTGTTTTGCATTGAGAGCAAAAGGAGCCTCTTATCCAATAAATACTACATATGTATGTAGAATTGCATACAAGTTTTACAATTTTGATTATCAATAAGATGCTAGAGTTCATTTAGTTTACTTTTGTTTATATTTTTCTTTCCATGAAAATTAATTAATGTGTGGTTTTTTGTTAATAATTTATATGATCTTTTATTTAAAGTAAAATGTGTTTCTATTTGTAGAATAAGTGCACAAAGTATTGGCCAGATGATGCCAAAAGGTATGGTGATATATTGGTCTCTACTGTAGAATTTGTTCCTACGACATCATTCACTATAAGAAAACTCAAAATGCTGAAGGTGAGTTTTTCTTTGTTTTTGGGCATTTATTTCATTAAAAAAAAAAAGTTAAACATTTATCCATTAAACATGTATATATATGTATATATATATATGTCATCTCACTATTTTGTTTCTTTATGTTGATTTAAATTCCACTGTTACTTACAATAGAACTAATACGATTTTGAATCTGATTGCCAATAGATGTTGGTCACACAAAGTGCGACTCTGAATAGGTTGTTATGTTATGGATAATGGTGGCGAAAGAAGTTCTCTATTTCATTCTATAAACAGACTTTTATATAAGAATCCTAATGCTATTTTCATTACCAATGTTTGCAGTGGTCCTTGTTTCAATACCAGGCTTGTCGATTATTGTGTTTTATTTATTCATTAGTTCATTTATGCCGATTCAACAGTTCAAAAATGAAAAAATAAAACATAAACCCTTTATTCTACCTTTCCATACATCTCTAATTCAACTCTGGTTTTGTTGTTAAGCACCTATATATTTATGTCTATTTTATAAATGTTTTTAGTTTGTATGTGAAATAAGTATTTAGTGCAATTTGTTTATATTTTTCAATGTTATTTCGCACCTTAGAAAAAGAATTTCATACTACATTTTTTTGTGTTTTTTGACAGTACAGTAATCTGAATCTGAATCAAAACAAAAAGTGGCTCCTAGATTTCTTTGTGACAATTTCAAAATACAAATCCCTGCATCATAAAAAAAAGATTTTAATTATGTATTTGTTGTCCTTATATCATTTTGTACATGTGACACAACTTTGAAACAATTTTTTTTGACGCATAAATGTTTTATCATTCTTTTATGAAATTTTATAAATTATTCGATTGTGTGCGAAATCTGTATAATTTTTGATAATTTCACTTTCACTTTCTACATTTTAAACTTTCTTTTTAATAATAATGTAGTTAAGTTTATTTTTGGGGGGCTCCAGACTTTTGTCATGGTGATTTTGTTGCTTTTGAGGCCCAAGACACTTGTCTGAATAAATAAATGAAATGTATGGATGAAATGAAATTTCCATTTAACTGTATTTCTGGTTCACAGGGAAAAGATGTACAGTTTGTAAAACAATACCACTTCCTGGTTTGGCCAGACAAGAACATTCCTCGTGCTTCATCCCCTGTTATTAGTATGTTGAAAGTCATACGAAAAGAAGAACCACAAAATGCTGGACCAGTTTTAGTCCACTGCAGGTACAGTATGTGGTGTTGGTATTCAATGGTTAATTTCATTTCATTTATTTTGTCTCAATAAAATACATAAAAAACAACAACCAGTTACAATACAACAAAATAAAAGCATAAAAAATCTGAAACAGGCCGAGACAGGATTCCTAAAAGTGAACCAAATCACTATCATGTAGGTCTCGTAATGCACTATTCCGATTACACATAAAATAATAATGAGCAATTGAAATAATACTTAAAATCTGTAAAATTTGCCTTAACAATAAATATATATATATATATATATAGAAATTGTAAAACTTATTTAAAATGTAATTTAAGATCGTTTAAAAATGCTTTAAGATTCAAAACCAATAAATCCCTAGTTTTTACAGGTAGTTCCTCCCAAGCGCGTGGAAACAAATGAAACATAGAATATTTCAGAGAATTTGTTCGAGCATATTGATGTACAAATTTAAGATGATCACCGTGTTTAGAGTTGATTGTTATGTAATTAAAAATATTAAAATCATAAAAGCCATGAAGACATTTCGCAATAAAAGAAATAGTAAGAAGCTTAAAACGTTTTTCAACTGAAATTAGACCGATAATGTCATGTGGAACATACAGTAAGGATGTCCAACTGAAACAAGTGTCACCAAACCATGTGTGACTATACCCAATAGAGGATCTGCACAGTGAAAGAAAAACATGATAAATAGAATAGTTAAGAACATCTGGTGTTGAGAACATTGTTGTTGATCCCAGGTGGGCAAAGTGCGGCCCCAACAGTAATTATTTTGTGGCCCACAAAAACGAATTGAAAACCCTATGTGTGCGGCCTGCCAACCATTTTTGGCTATAAAACACCTTGTTTTTTATGAGCTGACTCCGACCATTTATAAAAAGTAATATTAAAACTGAAAATACAGTCATGTAGAAGCAGTTAGTGAACGTTTTCCAATAAATATTGAATTGATGATATCTATGACACATGAACTGATACTGGAAGGATGATGCGAATGATGACATTGACAGCAGTTATAAAACATTTTTGTTGAATAAAATAACATAATGTATTTAAATATGTTAAAAGCAAAAAAAGGAGCAAAAAGTATATACAGTTGAACTTGTCGAATCCAATATGGCATTAAAAAATGTTTTGACTTGGGTAAAATTAGACTTACAGATTGTTAATTATTACGGAAAAAACAATTTGCCATGTAAAATAAAATCAACTTAGAAATTTATTTGACTTGCGCAAAGTTGACTTAGGCAAGTTTAACTGTATGTATTTCTTTTACCATAGTGCTGGTGCTGGTAGAACAGGGGCAGTTATTGCAATTGATGCCATGATGGATATGGCACAGCAAACACAAGAGGTCAACATATTTGAATTTGTGAAAGAGATGCGCAAAAGACGACCTAACATGGTTCAAACACCGGTAAGTCTCCAGAAACTACATGTATATTTCAAATTCATAAAATGTTGCTAATTCAGTTTCAAAATAATTATAGATTGGTAAGTCTTGATTAACATGATCTTGTTCAACTATCATTATGCTATCATGCCTGTATCATGACCATGTACCAGTATGGATTGGATTGGATTTATTCGGTGTAAATACCAAGGATAGCCCACGAAAGTCTAGAAGAAGACTTATTTCCAGTGGGGTCATTCTGGTGGTGATTGGGCAGTACACCGGGAGATAATCCCCTACTCTTTTCCGAAGAGTGTACTGTGTTCTTTAACATGCACATGGGCCATTATGCACACAGGACCAACGGCTTAAACGTCTCATCCGAAACATGGTGCGCTATTGTAACTTGTATTTCAGCCCTCTAGCTGAAACACAAAGAGAGGCAGCGATGGGAATTGAACGGGGGACCTAGAGATCTCCACGGTTCAGCGCACCACAGCGGCTACCACCAGATTAGCCGACTGAGCTAGCTGCTCTCTCAAGTATCATGTACCGATATTATGTATCTGTACTGTATTTAATGTAATGAGGTTGGATTTATAGTGCTTTTGATATATTGTACTGAAATCTCAAAGTGTGCGAGGTGTGGATTGCTCATAGAATAACTTCCCTCTCCCCTATGGGGTCTCTTAGTCTGAGCTACCCGGTGAACCACTACCAGCTACCTCTTGTATGTACACAACAGGGGTCGAATGAACCAGTGCACCTGGGTAATTTCTACTCGTCTCAAAAGATATACTGGCACATGAGCCAAATTGTGTTCACTGGGCCTACTGTTTATACAATAGTCCTTATACCAGAAGATTACCACCAGAACCATGGGCGAGTGTGCCGTTCTAACTAGCACCGATATTATGTTGTATTGTACTTTGTACCGGTATCATGATCATGTACCAGTATCAAGATCATGTACCAGTATCATAATCATGTACCAGTATTATGTACCAGCATAATGTATGAGCATTATGAACCAGTATCATGATCATGTACCAGTATCATATACCAGCATCATGTACCAGTATCATTTATCAGTACCATGTATCAGTATCATGATCATAATACCAGTATCATGACCTTGTACCAGTTTCATGTTCATATAATTATCAGTATCATTATCATGTACCAGTATCAAGATCATGTACCAGTATCATAATCATGTACCAGCATAATATATCAGCATTATGTACCAGTATCATGATCGTGTACCAATACCATATACCAGCATCATGTACCAGTACCATGTATCAGTATCATGATCATAATACCAGTATCATGATTTTGTACCAGTTTCATATTTATATAATTATCAGTATCATTATCATGTACTAGTATCATAATCATAAACTCATTTTGATTAATTAAATTCATCCTTTGATCTACAGTTGCAGTACAAGTTTGTTTATGACACAATACTAGAGTTTGTCATCTTTGGAGAAACTTCCATTCCTGTCTCAGAATTTAAGGAACATTACAAGAAGCTTCGGCATGTCAACCCAAAGTCTAATAAAACATATCTGTCTGAAGAATTTGAAGTAAGTTGGATTTTAAATACACAGCATAAAAGTAGAAAATAGATACAGTCTGAGGATAATACAGTACAAAATATTGAACAATACACTGTACATAATCATACAGTACAAAATATGGTACAAGATGCAATCCAAAATACAGTACATGGCCATATATAATACAAGATGAAGAACAAAACATAGGACATGATACATTGCAAATTACACTCTATTGTGCAGAGCTGAACACAGAGGAAGCAGCACTAGATACAAAGCAAGGCACAATACATGTTAGATACAGTGATATGGAACATACAGTGCAAAATGCAGTAAATGTTACAATATATAGGGTAATTATTGTTAAATTTTTTATAAATTTTTGTTAAATTAGTGTATTTTTATATTATCATTATGAATTTTAAATATTTAAAAATTATAATAATTATTGTAATTATCTCTTTTGTAAATAACTTGGCCACCATATGTTATTAATTTTATGTGAGATTTTGAAATAAAGTGATATATATAATTTGTGATACTGTTAGGTATACCACTTAAATAGGGAATCAGCAAGGGCAGAGGTGGTTGGTAGACCCTTTAAGACTTGGTACTGTTTGGCACAACACCTTCTTATTTTGTAATAACTTTTGATCACAACACAAACAAATTTCCTTACCGTGAAATTTTCAACCGTATACCACGGTCTTCCTCGGCACAATGACTGGAATGTGACTCGAAGGCTACACCGATTTAGGGCAACTGATCTTATGAACATGTGACGCCAAAATTGGATCATAAATCTTTGGTAGCTTGTGTCTTCTTATATTGCTGTGCAGTTCCATTTTACATACAACAATTACAAAAAATATATATTCTCATGGAATTGAGTGCAGATTGTGTATGATGTTTTAAGTTGTATTTAAGTTGAAGCATACTTCTACAGTTGTTGCCATTGGTCATACACTGGTTTAATGCTATACTTATTTTATCAGGCACTGCAAAGGATATCATCAACACTGGAGGCCGACAGCACTAAAGGAGGGCTGCGATCTGAAAACAGAAAAAAGAACCGATATCCTGACATCTTGCCATGTAGGTTGATTGTCTTAGTCCATCTTAAGAGTAAAATTTTTCAATATGGATTATAATTTTTGAAATAAAAGATGATTGTTTGATTGATTGATTGATATGGTCAGTACACAAGGAAATCATTGTTATTGTTATTATTCATATAGGCTATGTTCAGACACAACGATTGACGCTAGCGTAGCATTAATCGAGTGGTGTGAACTTGTGCGCGGCGTAGCGAACGCCAGTATTATCGCGCAATCACTGGCGTATGGTAATCCAGCAACAGACCCCAGATTAGCGTACGCCACTGATTTACGACAGTCATGCATTGGTGATTTTGAACTCAGCCAAGATTTGACCAATCAAAATAAACCTAGATGTAAACAGAAAATAAAATGCGCAAATTACGAATACGAATATTTCGCGCGAATAATTACGCTAGCGTTCATTATTCGCCCAGTCTGGACATCTCGCTAGTTACGCCATGAATTAACGTACGCCCAGCGTTAGATACGCCTGGCATCTCACAGGTCTGAACGTAGCCATAGCACTATTCCTTTAGGTTACAAAGCGCTTTGTTGTCGCTAGTCGTTGGGTCCACATGCTTAAATGTTGCTGCCATATTGGCGCAGTAACAGGCAACCCCGCCAGGTACCCATTTATTCTCCTGGGTGGAAGGAATCAATGCCGATAATGTGCCTTGCTCAAGGACACAAGCGAAATGCACAGTGAGTAATTGAAACACCAACCTCAGGGTTGGGAAACCAAACCGTTCTCACTGCGCCAAACCGCTTCCTCTAACTTAACTCCCTAAGATGCCATCTGAAGATGTGATGGGGTTGGTATTTTGTGAATACATCTAATTTGAATAATAGTAATAGTATTTTCACAACTGACAACATTATGGCCATTGTGAGACTAAAGATTTCTCAAACTGTAAAATAAAACATAAATTTGCTGGGTGCTAACTTGGTACTGGTGATAAGTGACTTAATTATCCCATTGTATTGTGATAGCCTTTTAGTATGCAATATATGAAATTAAATTTTAACTATTTAAAGGAAAATATTATAATTTCTATAATCCATTAAATTTGCCCGTCATTTTTCTTTGTAGATGACCGTAATCGGCCATTCATTATGACCCCTGGTGAGAACGGGCCATCCGATTATATCAATGCTTCATTTTTTGACGTGAGTAAAACATTTTAATTAGACATTTTTCATTTCTCAGTATTTAATTTCAAAGAATTGTATGTTATAATACATATTTGGTTGTTTTTTTTTTTCAGAGTTTTGATAAGAAGGATATGTTTCTTGGGACTCAGGCTCCCATGAGGAATACTGTTGAAGACTTCTGGAGAATGATTGCTGACTACAACTCAAAAGCTATTGTTACACTTAATGATTTCTACAATCGGGATAAGGTAACTTATAGTTTTCCGTAGGTATTGTTATTTTTATTACTGTTGTTATATTTTACCATTGTTAACCCTTTGAAGTCCCAATTGACTTTTACCAAGGCCACTAAGGCCCATTAAGCCCCACTGTCATCATCCACTAAAATAAGAGTAAGTGCATCACTGATTTGGCCACTTTGAAGGCTTCTGCACGTCCAGTTGTGGCAAAAATAGGGCAATACCCTAAAATTACTCATTAAATAAATAGAGGGCAGCAGCACCAAAGTCAGTCCATGTATAATTCGGAGCGGGCTTCCTGCGACAGTAAATTGGTCCGTATATTATACGGACCGCGACTTCAAAGGGTTAAGACATGCAGCGTCAGTCATGAGCAGGCTTGCCATAATGCCTCAGGCCGTATTGGCTGCGCTATGTTACCTACACATTGGTTAATAGATGGAGTATAGTGGTTACAGCATCAAGAGTACGAAATTATCAACTCTTCACCCATAAACCTCTTGGTTGTAGTTAAGATTCAATCAGTTCTCAAAACTTCTCAAGTCTTAATAAAAAGATTTTTTTTTGTTTTTGTTTGTTTACTTATTACTCTTTTTTATACTGTGAAGTCCATAGAAGCTAATAATAATAATAATAATAACAACAA